ACTGAAAGTTCAGAACACCATCTCTGTCCATTCATCTCAAGGCCCTAAACCACATGTAAGTATTTACGAACGTATGTCAAATCAATTTGGATGGACCTCTTCACCAAGATTCCATTTTGTTACAGGAGTTTATTTGTCACCTTCAATGAAATTCTGCCTGCACTCTTTATTTCATTTATTATTCTTGATGTTGTTTTCAGTTGTATGTGTATATAATCTACATTTTTCCTGCAGTCGAATGGAAGTAGTTTCTTTATCTTATGTATTGGGTTATGCATTTGAAGAGTTAAGACAGCTGATACTTGAAGCATCTCGAGATGGATTCAGTGATTATTTTAGAGATGGTTGGAATTGGATCGATGTGTTTGCAATTACTTTGACTTTTATTGGATTTTGTACAAGAATGAATGTGGTAAATAAACATGGATCAGAATTTGAAGAAGCTCATGATGTTATACTTTATACAACTCGTAATCTTTATATGCTTGGTCTAAATCTTTTTTACATGAGAACTCTACATATTACTTCAATTTCACCAATTATTGGTCCACGACTTAAAATGATGGCTGATATGTTACGTAAAGATTTGATACCATTATTAATAGTATTTGCAATTTTCATAGTCTCTTATGGAGTTTGGTTTCAAGGATTAATATATCCAAATAGTTTTTATGAAACACATGGTCAACGTCAAAATAAGCATTTAATGAACAACACTGAATTATCACGTCAACGTGATATGCAGAGACTTGGAGTGCTTATGTCATTTAGTGACTTATTTCGACGCGCCTTCTATAGTATATTTGAAGTGAGCATTGTTTTAGAAGAAGAGACATGTGAAGATAATAAATATTGTGGCAGTGAATTAGGATTTAATACAGTTATATTTTTTGTTCTGGTGCTATACGTTGGAATTGTTAATATTATCTTAATCAATCTACTTATTGCATTGTTCAGTAATACAGTATCAAGAATTGATCAAAAGTCAACAGCACATTGGTTAGCTGGACGTTATAAAATGGTTAAAGAATATAGTGAACGAACATTATTACCACCACCATTCAATACATTATGCATAATTTATGAATTATTTCGTTGTTTCTACATTGGTACTAGTCAATGCTTTTGTAAGGATATAAAATTTCCATTTGGAAGAAATAAAAAATTGTTTAAAACTGAGTCAAATGATGACTTGGAGGAACAAGAAAATGAATCACCTGATGAAGAGAATAGTAATTTGAAAAAACATTTAACTAGAGAAAACCAACTAATTAAAATTAAAGAAGAGAATAATAGACGAATTAAATTATTAATGGGTGAATCAGATGATCGTGGTAAATTATATAAACAAGAAATTGACGCCGTATTAAAATTCATTTTAATACAAAGTTTTGCATTACAAAATAGTAGGCATACATTGGGCACAGGAGTTAGTTTTAGAGGACCATATACCAGTCAAAATACAAGCAGTTCTGATGGAACAACTAATAATGAAAGTATACAATTACGTAATAATCAAATAGATAGTCGATTAGAACGTATTGAAGCTATATTAGAAAAAGTTGTTGATCGTGTAAATCAAATTAAAATAACTGATACATTATCCACTCAAGAAACACCAACTATACGTTCACCTGTTCCTATACGTATGCCATCTGTAAAATTGACTCATGCACCTACTGATGTACAGTTTACAGCTACAAAAATTCCAACATCAAAAGAATTATTTCAACAACTAAGTGATGAATTTCGAAGTGAAACTGAAACAAATACACAATCTCTTAGCAGTAAACCACCATCTATCAAAATACAAAAATCATTATAAGACACTGTAGTTTATTTTTTGAAAAAAAAACTCTTAATAACCTATGCAATTAATTAAGTACAATAACAAATGGATCTCTTTCTAACTATATACAGAATACAGGCAAATCTAAAAATCAGTATATATTCATACTATAGAGAATTATTTTCTAGTACAGTTACTATTTATCCTTTAAGAAGAAATATTGGGAACAATTTAACAAAATAAAATTAATATGAAATGTAATGTCATAAACAATTGAAATAAACATTAGAATTTCGATAATGCAATAAGAAGACAAAGTTTATCAGAATGATGTGATATATATTTGCTCAATACATTTCGAACAATCTAATCATACATAATACACTTGTTAAGAACATTTATATATGAAAATTAAAAGGTCAACTAGACAGGTTTAAAGGTAAGTCATAACAAAGGAAAAAATAATCATAAAGTACACAAAACACAAATGTGATTACCACTTTAATATTTTTTCCTTTGTTATGACTTACCTTTAAACCTGTCTAGTTGACCTTTTAATTTTCATATATAAATGTTCTTAACAACTATATGTGTGATCAGATTGTTCGAAATGTATTGAGCAAATATATATCACATCATTCTGATAAACTTTGTCTTCTTATTGCATTATCGAAATTTATCAAAGGAACTAATTGTTTTAAACATTAGAATGTTGTTTTCTTTTTTCTAAAAAAAAAGAAAAGAAGAAATATTATCTAGTTATTCATCTATGATTTTTCTTTCTTTCTTTTTTTTCTTTCATTTATTCTTTTATTCATAAAGAATGAATAATTCCATTAAGTTATTCATGTGTATGTAATAGAGATGTATATGAAAACAGATGAACTAAACATAATATAATTTTAATAGATTAATTAATCAGGGATAGATATTTAATATTCATTAAACATTAAATCATTTTGATCAAAATGTATATCATTCATTAAAGAATAGATCCGTTTTTTATTGATTGATTGATTTTATTGAAATAAATAGTTTATTAATTTTTTTAGGGGGGGGAATGGGAGAGGGGTGAGTGATGGTGTGGGGTGGGTTTAAACTATTTCAATTGTACCATCATTTTAATCTATTGTTTATTCTCTAATGATTTACTGATATATATCTATTTCTTAACAAAATTATATTCAAGTTAAATATCTCCTTTTTACAAATTAGTTTGACCAATTATTTTTTGAGAAAAAAAAGAGAGAAAACTTATTGAGTCGTAGGGTGTCAGTTACTATTGTATCTTTATGTGTTACATGTTCAATTGTATATTTAATGATTAACAATAAATTAAATTGGTGTTATTATCAAGGTTTAACTTGATAATTTTGAATAAATTAAGCATTGGGTAGATTATGTGCAAAGATGGATAATGGTTAGCAGTGGAATCTATGACGCGCGTTTCGTCCTATTTTGGACTCGTCAACTGGATGTACCTGCACCTCAGAGTTGATGTTCACTTTGGAGCTCCAACTCAATAGCGTTTGCTTCAAATGCCATTGCGCTATCCACTTTGCTACTGAGTCCTTGCATATAATGCTTGTGAATTAAGACTATATCGAGGCAATCTGCACAGTTTGCATTGTGAAAGAAAAGATCCGAGTTTATACAATATTACTAGTAAATCTCTTTTCATATTGATAAAATTTAGTCACTCAGAACATATAAACATAAACCTGCATATATACACTTATTTATTGAGATTATTTAAGATCGCTTCGTGAACTATTTCCATAATCTCCTCTATACGGATAATTACTGTGTTAATTATAGAAATTGGAAAGCTGTAAGACGAAGGTATGTCTCAATTGGCTAGTCTTTGGTAATGGTTAGATCTGTAGAAAATTTTGTCTTAAAACTACTAATCTATTGTTTATGACCTATTCTTTTAGCTCATGAGTTGACTAGTTTTATCTCACAACATATATTGATAGGTTTCGACCTGAAAAGCAGATTTTGAAATTCCTGTCCGGTGTGAAATTCTTCTAGTCCATAATGATTCTTACATGTAATTGAACGAACCATGTCATTTTGCAGGTAAACCGTGTTTAGACGAAGTTTGTTGACAATTTCTAGTCCTGAAAAGATATTTATAGTTGGCTTGCAAATACTGATTCTGAGCTTTTTGATACATAAATTTTGGGTAAATATTGAACTGTTGTCATTGTCTTTCTAATTCCCAAGAAGCGTTGATTACATGTTGGCAGATAAATTAATTTATGTTGTTTAAAACATTATTTTGCTTGGTGTTCAAGGTTGTAACTAACTGTTATTTATTAGCTATAGCGCACATAACAGTTTATTTAGTTACTGAAGCAGTAACGCTATGTTTAGGGTTGTCGGTATACATTAAGATTATACACAGACATTAACTTCACAGGTGGCCTTACTGAGACAGAGTAAATTTCGTATGTAGGAAATCGTTCGAACTATTCCTCTATGGTCTATCGGAAGTCTTAATGTGATAAATTGAAAATGAGGGTAAGAAAAAAGACCAACAGATGCATTCACGTAGCGAGCAGTGATCAAATTACGCCAATATGACAAGTGCTGTTTCCGAGTCAAGTATTTTATAAGCAACGGAAGTAAAAATTTCCTAACTCCCTAAGGTTGATTCATCATTTTCTTTAATTTTGGAATATTGCTGCCACAGAAAAAGTGAAGATAATGCTGATCAAATAGCTGTTAGAGCCTCTGCATGAAAGGATCTCGAGAGGCGGAGCTATCGTTGACCTGGTGTTGAAACACGATGATGACATTTAAGAGATCTTTTTATCACAGTTGTGACAACTGAGAATATTTGCCGATCAGTGACTGATTATCACTCAAATGAACCCCTTGGCAAATTTATAGAAAGCAAAAACAAGGTTTCTCGAATACGATGAATTTATTACATTTCGTTAACAACAAACAAGCTAATAATTTTGATGAATCTAATATTTTAACAGAATTAGGAATTACGAAATTCACTAAAGTAAAGTAAATTATGAGGGGAATGAAATCGGAAAGTTTTGAAGAAGTTTCTGTAACATTTCAGTTAATTTTATTGCATAATTACAAAGGAAATATCTAACATGAGGGAATATAAGTTTTTAAACCAAACACACCGGGTTGTGCTCATAATTACGCAAACTTTTTTTACAACCATTACTTCGAAAGGCGTTGATTACCAATGTTTTCTAATAAAACAGCCTGGTTTTAGCCCAATAATTGCATCATAGTAGAGTTTCACCGAAATAATGTTTTCACACTACAAAACAAAATTTGTGAAAGGTATTGTCCATTGTAAACGTTTTTCTAATAGATATACTTCTGGATAGTTTGGAGGCTACTTTCTCGACAAGCCTCATTTTAAAAAAAGAGAGATGTCATCCCTCCCAACTCTTTATTGTCGTTTTGGTATTTGAACGAATTCCATGAAAAGGTTCGACTGACTTATTTGTATAACATATGGATACACAGCCATACCATTTTAGTGTAATTTCAGTTAGTTGAATTAATATTATACACATACATGGATTACTAAGATACTCGGGTTTTTTATTCATAGTATGTTTTACTTTTCTACTTCATACCATTTGAATTGCTGAATTTTACTACTTCCTAGTTTTAAGTGTGTGTTGTACGATGCAATGGATTTTTCAATGACAAGAGAAGTTGGCAATCATAATTATGCATTGTAAACGGTTAGCTAGATTTGTTGTCTAAAGTACTTATTGTAACTAATATTCTATGGGATTACTGAAATAATAGTTCTCAATAACCTTAGATGATACTATCGCTAAGCTAATAAACACAATGATTGATACCATAATAAATCAGTCACTTCACAACTGAGCACTTCTTAGGAAACAAACATTAAACAACGATAGTAATAGTCATAATAATAGTAATAAATCATATTTACAATGTACATTTGAATTATACAATATACCTTAAAACATAATATCACTAAAAAAGAAGAAACATTGTCCTGTCAAGATAAAAAAAATAGGAGGGAATAAAATCATCACCGACGTCTTTTATCGCGCATATAGTTTTTGAATCGTTGAAGTGCAATATTATCTGTGGATTTTTCGTTACGAATATGCGGTCGGCTATCTGCAAAAAATATACATATATAAATGGGAAGGCAATAAAATTTATATCATAGATGCTTATAGGATATGACAATTAAAAAGTTAATTATAAAGTCTTAAATGGAAACAATTTAATGATCTAGTAATTGTTTTAAGAAGTTACTTGAAATATATGGTTAAATGTCAAGCTGAAATAGTGGTTTTGATGTTAGGCGTTTGAGCGCGGGACAGAGAGTCTCGGGTTCGATTTCCGACTCAGTAGTTTGAGTGGTTGGATTTTCTCCAAACGAATTGTTTAGGGGTCTCATACTGGGGAATGAGACAGCTGTCAGTGCTTCCTAGTTTTTAATGGTATCCAAACCGAGATCAATTTGTGATGAAAGCAACCTACTAAACTAAGCCAAATTAAACGTATTCGAAATTTCACTACACTGCGACTTTTTGTTTCTTGTCTGTATCAATGACAAATAAGAACAGAAAGATGAATCTCGATAAACTTACTATCTAAACGACGATTTTCCTTTTGAGGAGACATCGGATTATTTTTCGTTGATTCCAGTTTGTTTGTATTATTATTGGCTATGTGGTTGAGTTCTCGTTCGTTGTTCAAATCAGCTCTTTTACTGATTCCATTTGTGTAACTATCTATATTTTTTAAATGAAAATTTACAAAGAAAATAGGAAAAATTTGTTGATTCATACTTTATAACACTAGTATTAGCAATGTATTTTCGACAGCTTAAACAAGTGAGTAGTGTCCCACAAATAGGCGTAATAATTAACATAAATATTATAAAATTTAATGGGGGTCTTGGCAAGGATTTTGTCATCTATAAAGAAAGTAGAGAATTCTGATATCATCTATATGTCCAATATCATGAAAATGAAAGTTACAACTATTTCTTTTGGTAAAACTCAACGTAGATTTTTATAATACTGGAGCACTTTAAATCTTAACATCTGAAGTCTTGGCATGATTTTAGGTTGACTCAAATGATTCCAAATAAACAGGCAATAAACTCCTGGAATTACTTTGGGCCACGAATCCATTGTATAACAGCTTTAATATGGTTGTTTTATTGATACAGACTTAGCACCAGAAACAATCAATAAGTTTGATTAGAAGTTGTTGATATCATCCACCAGAGCACATGGAAGTATCAGGAATGAAGTCGATACCATTGACCGATAGTTAGGTTAAATAGTCCGAAGACTAGGTCAAATTGTTTGATTCAACCTTCGTGAAAGACAATGGTGTACGGTGGCGCAACTTCGTGGATTGGTTGAAGTTAGACATTAACACCGTTGGATACCGGCTCAATGGTCTAGTGGTTAAGTGCTCGCGCGCGAAGCCAGTAGGTCCTAGGTTCGAGCCCCGCGTGGTGCGGGATCGTGGATGCGCACTGCTGAGGAGTCCCATACCAGGACGAAACGGCCGTCCAGTGCTTCCAGGTTTTCAATGGTGGTCCAGCTTCAACTGACTCATGATTTCAACCTGTGAAAATAAAAAGCTTGAGCACCTATACTTCTGTCAGAAGGTTATAAATGTTAAAATACCAGTTTACGATAAAGGAATTAAAATAGTTTTCAAATTTCTAATTAATTCATCTATCAAACACTTCAGTATGAGGCATATTCCAAGTGAGAACTAATGGTATTATCTGGTTGTTCAAAACAAAGTAGGCAAAATAAGGTTTGAACTTAGGGTTTAGGGGATGAAAGTAAAACTTTTTAACCATCAAACCAACGGTCAAGCAACCAAGCCAATGATAATTTTAGACATCAAATTAAATATCGGGTATATTGTTGGATATAGTGTAGAGACTAGTTTCAGGTGAATAAAGTGCTCACCCGAAATATTAGAGAATAAGGCATCAAAAAAATGATAACTTACTGAACTAATACAATGTTAACTTTGACTAACACGCGATTATTCACGTCTGAATGCTAATACAGAAGACGTCGCCATGCTGTGATCTACGAAACAAGTGTTACCTAATAAGATGACTAGAAGTTTTCACAGAAGTGATATGACCCCTTACTTAGCTACCTCGAAAAATAAACACTTCATAACACTGATAGCAATGCATGTCCTTTTTTCTTTTACTAGCATGCGACAACGAAAGCTGGGCTTCTAGTCACCTTGTGGTATATGCTACTTATGTTGACAGATATAAGTAGTGGAATGCCTGGCAGGAGGAGACTGAGAAGATTGCATCAAAGAGAACAGGAATGTAAACACAGAGCAATTGTAATAACAACAGAATTGAGGGAATCATGAAGCATGTAAAGGACAACTGAAGAAAGATATATATATATATATATATATATATATATATATATATATATATATATATATAGTATTTCATTTATGGTTTCCATAAATTTGAAAAAAGACTAATTCTGAATTAAACAATAAATTGGTGTTCCCCCACCTGAGTTCTTGTTCACTACAACCTAACTCCTTATGTTTTCTAATATAAACATTTGATGTATACAATTGTAAGATTGACAAATTAAACGACGCATGAAGAGAAAGCAGCAAAGACAATCAGATTGACTATAATATAAATGTTGGTAATACGGAATATCTTACTATATTATACTTTATAGGTTCTATGAAATATGGACAAATAAATCTGGAAGCCACACGTGAATAGACAGCAAACATTAACTCACTCCACCGACTGTGCTGAACGAAGTTGACTGCTATACTAGTTGGTGCTATGTGATCTGTTGAATAACCATGTTTGCGACTTAATCTTTTTCTAAAAAGTGTTTGCTTGGCTTCTTCTGTGGCTTCTATGTTTTTCATTTTCGCTTCCACACCCAAGTCAACTTCAGGGATACCACATAACATTTGGTTGGATAACATGTCTTCCTTCTGTTGACCAATTGAAGGTTTGAGATACTCAGGAACATCCTGTAGTAAGTCTGAATCTTCATCCCTAAATCAAATATGGAGAATTTACAAACAAAACATGATGAGAATTAGCATATTTAAATGTTTGGAACATAGTTGTATTAAAGTAATTTCAATAACAGGTATTGGATATGGACTACATTTCAAAGACTAGTAACCTAACTAGTCTACTTTTTAACAATGAAATGAAAACTAATTCAAAATATATATGACACGATGGGTCACATATAAACTAATTATGAACATTTCTAAGTTTGTGAATCCTAATTTATAAGCATAGGCTACGTAACTAACACCTTTTAGATAACTATTGACGAAAACAAATAGAGATGGAAAAGAATTCATTCTCCATAAAGTTAAAAAGTGATTAAATGCGAATTTCTGTATTAGACTATATATTGAACATATACTGTGACAGCTAATGGAAGCATCCAACTTCAAGAACCTTAGTAAGCAGAAAAGGGCTCGGGGTCCATAACTCATTAAAGTAGGGGATAGTGAGCTGAAAATAAGCTACAATATTCACGTACAGGAAAACCAGTATGGACAATCGAATGTATTAAACACAAAATTACAGGACTTGTTAATAAAATCTAACAATTATATAGTAAATGCTAAATTTGCAAAATGTCCATCAATTGTCTTAAAATGACTCAGACTTCATTGTTCTTGCATTCTCATACAAATTGCACTCTGTTTCCATTCTTTACTGTTCAATCCTCTTGTCTCTCCGCTGTCAGATATTCTGTTCATGACTAACGTCATATACTACTTATGTCGATATAAGTAGCACATACCACACTACTATATGACCATGAAACTGAACTAGACATAAAACATCTAGTTTAACAGGAATAAATGAATATGAAATAGTACGAAGCTCAATTTAGATATATCATAAATTCCACTTAGCCACTGTGATAGATTTTGGACTGTCTTTTAAAATCACACACTTTTATTAGGGAATGTTTGACAGTATTCGTCCAATCAGTAACAAACAACGTACAACTTGACATTAATGTGTATACGATTAAAGTTGTTACACGAAGGGAAATCAAAAAACATGCCAAATAGAGCAGTCGGAAAAGTGACATCGGAGTCTGGCTGTTTAGTCAAGTTTCAAAGTGACGTTTCCTGTAGCTAATATCAAAATGAAATGACGTGGTTTGATATGTTAAAGATTATTATTTAGGTGGTAAGGCATTCGTGTAAAGATCTAAGTAGTGTGAAAGTACTTTCTGTCTGGTTTCCACGTAGCACTGGAAGTAACAGAAGAGTGGTCAAGTTTTAAAAAACGATTGGTTTAGGTTAGTTTTTTAGCATGTCATAAGCTGCTTATTATAGCAAAACTGGTTCCAATCATTATTTCTTTTAAAATAACACTGAGAGCAATATGGTCTCATTTGTATGTTTATATCGTAAAAAAACACTTTATATAAGGTCAGGAATTTAGTTCTAACACTGACGAATTATTCGTAAACTGTTTTAAGTTGTTTCTACAGATAAAGAATACTTGAAATATATTACATATGTTGTCTCCAAACAAATATAAGAAAAGTATAATTCATATAGAAATTACTGAAACATACCGGTCTAGGGTGGAGGGTTTAATTAATCCCTTTCGTTTGGCTACTTCCTCCTCGATGTACTTGATCCTAAAATTAAGCATTATAAAGAATGGGGAAGATTACATTTCGGCATCTTCATCTCTCTTATTAGTTTCTGTGGCGAACGTTTTGGCTAGACGAGCTTCAACGTCATCGTCCTCTTCGGATTGTTTAGCAGATGAAATACTGTTTAGGTCAACTAGACCACCAGTCTTAAGTCTAAATGGGTCGTTGGCGATTGTTAGATTGAGATCTGGAACTTCTTTACCAGTGGCTAGTGCAGACAAGCTTACTCCAGCTGGTCGTTTCCTTAGTTTTTGCAATTCTCTTATTGCTTCCACAACTACTGTGGAGTCTGCAACAACAGGTGCAGTAGAATCTTCGAGACGATCTTCCTCAGAATCTGAAGAGACACTCAGCTCTGTGGTTTGTCTCAGGCATCGCACCTTACGCGACTTCATGTGACACCTGAAGGGAAAAAATGAAGCATTTCTTAGTTAAGGAACCTTCAAAACCTTCATAGACTTGACAGCATTTTTTGGATGTTGCACAGTAAGATGATTGTACTTGAGTGAGTTCAAGTGGATTGGAGACGCTACCTAGAGAGGAACTGAAAAATGACCGAAATATTCATCTGGAAGGGCTTTACTAACAATCGGCTAACAACTTGCGCATTATGGCTATTGATAGCTGTGAGCCTCAGTAATAATATTCACATTAACCAACGAATCTTACTGTATTCCGACAGAACATGGGTGCCTAAATTTTACCTACACCTGAAGATAATCGGACTGATGGTCTAAGAACTTTGGGTAGATCGTACCCAGACAAGTGAGATGGGACGATCCCTTAAAATGACCAAATTTTCATGGATTCTTATGGTGATAAGCTACAACCTACCTTCACATGTTGTCATTAAAAAAATAAGTTTCGATCTCTAACTCAGTAACTGGTTTTCGAACCTTTCAAGACTGCTCGAAGACACATACTGGACTTTGTCAGGGGATTTGCTTAAGCTTTCAGGTCCACTGGGGGATTGTCATATACTAAATGTTCACCTCCTGGTTTACACAGCGGACAACTTCATTGTTCCAGTCTGCTGGCAACCCAAGCTGCCAATTTCGAGGAAAATTTGGCACATTTTGGGGAAGCCGCTATAGTAAATTTTGGGGAAATGGCACAAAAACCCCGACATTTCTCCAAAGTAGGGAGCTTGGGATATTTGACTTACTCAGAGACATGTCTAATATCCTTACCATGTATGCCACTACCCGATAACTTTAAAATGAACTAATCAGAAACAACTTATTTCTTATTTTTGCCCCTTGATTTCGACGAAAACGCTCCAATATACCTATTTCTATATAAACGCCGTTAAAATGAAGCCTATTATAATGAATTTTTGAAGATTTGTGTAAACTAGGACTGAAATGCGAGAAAACATAAAAAAGAACATAAAATGTCATGTAACAGTCTAATTACTCCTGAAACCGTCGAACAAATAAAAACGTAACGCCAGAAATTGTACTACGAATCTCTTTATCTCAATATCCAATGTCTTTGTGGTGAGCCTGCCTAAACCTATTCATTGAGTGAATTTATCCGTGAATGCCACACTTACGAAACTGAGTTGCGTTTAAAAACACACTATTGATTTCTTTGAAATAGCTTCTACAAGTTGTGGTCGGGTTATAGGTCTTTCATGCCGTAAAATGTAGGTTTCTCAGCTACTCCGTTGTATGAAACCAAGTGGACTTGGTAGTTAAATGGTTCAAATGGTTGTGGACGGGATAGAAGCTTTAAATGGTTCAAATGGTTGTTGAGGGAATAGAAGAAGCTTTCGCTAAACAGGCTTCCGTGTCTAGTAGCAGGGGATCACCAAATCCTCCAGGCAGGAACCTAGGTATGTTAACAATAAAAGAGGTAAAAATTTAGTAAATCATAGTGTGATACTATCCATTGTCCTTAAGAATAAATTGAGTTGCCTCTTAAAGGACTCCTGGGAAGTTGCTTGGACTAGCTCGGCCGGCAGCGGATTCCAGTATTTGACAACTCTTAAGGAGTAGAAGTTGTGACTACAGTCCGTTCTGCTATGTTGTGTCTTCAGTTTCTGGGTGTTACCTCTTAGGTTAGTGTTGGAACTAAGCTTAAGTAGGTGTTTGAGAGGATGTCCAGAAGTGTTAAGGATACTGTAAGCCATTAAAAGGTCACCTCCAAGACGCCTATACTCTAATAGGTAAAGGTTAAGTTATTGGAAGCGCTCTTCATAAGATTTAAATTTGAGTCCTCGAACTGATTTCGTGGCTCGCCGTTGGATACGCTCCAAAGTGTCCTTATCTTTTTGGAGTGAGGGGGAGTACTATGTTTCCGTACTCTAAATGGGGACGGATTAAACTATTGAAGATTATATGGAAAGTTCTTCCGTCAAACTGGCCGAAAATGCGCTTCAATGTTACCAATGCAAGGTTTGCCCGAAAGTCATTTTTGTCACAGTTAGCGTAAAACTTTAAATCGTAGGAAACCAGGACTCCTAAATCTTTTTCGACTCGGAATGCTTCTAGAGAGGAGTTTCCTGAGTTGTAACTGGAGTCTGCGACATGTCGCAGATGGACTTCTTTACACTTTGAAGTGTTAAAGGTAAGTCCGTCATCGTCTGCCCAACTTTGAAGTCGAGTCACATCCTCCTGAAGGGTCTGTATATCCTCTTGGTTGCGTATCTCTCTTCAAAGTTTCACGCCACCTGTTGATTAAGATCATTTGTGTATATCAAGAAGAGAAGAGGTCCTAGTACCTAGCCCTGGAGGACCCCACTAGGACATTCCATAGCCTGAGATAAAGTGAAATTAACACTGACCTAAAAATGTCGATTTTTCAGGTATGAAGTGAGCCAATCGATTAGAGATGGTCTGATACCCAATCATTTGAGCTTATTGATAAGACATGTATGGTTAACCTTATCAAAAGCTTTTGAGAAATCTAGGTAGATGATATCAACCTTCCCCTTGTGATCAAGGATGCTTGCCCATCTGTCCACCACAGTCAGCAGGTTGTTAATACAAGCGTAAACCTTCCCGAAACCATGATGTTAGGGTGAGAAAAAATTTAAGGACAGTAAATAGTCATTTATACCATCACATATCAGGGACTCCACGATTTCTGAAGGTGTTGAGAGAAGAGCCACCGGTCGGTGACCTGAAGGTTAGCTGGTGTGATGTAAGTCAGCCTCCAATTTTGCGGTCGTTTTCCTCGACTTAGCGAGTGTGAGAACATCACGCTAAGCGGTGTTGCCACGATTGAGGCTGATTCCCTCAGTACGGCGGAATGGACCATGTCCGGGCCAGGAGAAGTGTCTAATCTTAAATGCTGCAGTTTCCGGAACACCAAGTCAGCGCTTAGGTTCACTTCCGAAATTCCTGTGGAACTGCAGATGAAACTGTCATCAGTAAAGTTGATGTCCGTCGGTTGAAATGTCTGGGGGTAATGTTCAGCCAGAAGGTTAGTGGCGTCGCCGTCGTTGTTGGTCGGGCCGTTAAGACCTACCAGTTGGGAAACTCCAGTTTTGGCTTGACGAAGAGAGGCTGTATAACGGAATAAGCTTCTAGGATTGGAGCCAAATTTGTCCATAAGCTTTGTCTGGTATTGCAGCCTATCTTCTTTTATAGCCTTCGTGCATATGTTCCTTATATGTTGTTATTGCCTGTACGCTCCATCGTTGTCGATTCGTTCGTATTCCGCCCAACAGTGCCTTTTGCGGCTTAGCAGGCAAAGGGTACGGTTCTTCATTATTGTAGGTGGCTTGCAGCTTTTGGGAACCGTTTGAGGAACTGAATGGTTTGTAGCACGTAAGAGCGTGTGCAGTAAGAAGTCTCAATGACCGTCCACATCGAGTTGATGGTGAACATTTCAATCTACCTGTTGTAGATAGTCGTGTAGAGCTGGCACATTCAACCATTTAAAATTCCTACGCAAGTTATTGGTGGGATAGCTTAGCTTAGTTTTGCTGACAGAACTGAAGGCCATGACGGCATGATCGCTTTTTCCCAGGGGATCCAGGATTGAGAGGTTGTCAACTAGGAATTCTCCGTTTGTGAATACACAGTCTAAATGCGATGGTGTCTGACTGTTTGTACAACGAGTTGCCGACCTCACATTTTCGAACAATCCTAAGTCATCGATGAGGTTGAAGAATCGAGTTTCAGATGAGTTATCGCCTCCAGTCTACGTGTGTTCCGCGAAGTTGACTCTAGGGAGATTAAAGTCCCCTAGAATCAGAATGTGTGTGAAACCGAGACGATTAGAGCGAGATAGTCCTTCCAGCATACGACTATCGTACTCGGTGTCGGCAGTTGGCTTCCTGTAAATGACTCCGACTAGACACCTCGAAGTACTAGACAATCTTACAGAGTACCTTGTGGATTCCTCAAGATTGTTAAACTCGAGGTTGTGAACTTGGTGCACCTCTAAGCAAGAGCTTATGTATATGGCTACTCCGCCCCCAATTCCTGTTTTTCTGTCGTTGCGGAACAAAGTCATGTTCATTAGACGGGGTCTTGGATGACCATCCTTCTTGGCTAGTCTCGTCACATGCTAAGTTAGTATGTGTTTGAGCCTCAAGGACTGTTTGATGAATTTCCATTTCCTGATGTCAGTTTTTGATTGAGTAGGGTCCGTATTTTCCGGTATACCTTGCACGATTATATTCCTCCCGCGGAAAAACTGATTGCGAGATTCTTTGGGGATGTTCCGGATGAGATGGCGCTCAGAATACGGTATGTCAGGCAGTATCCCTACATTCCCATCTGATTTCAGTAAACGACTCGCTAGTAAGACATCCTCAACGTCGGTAGCATTCTTAAGTGTTACACGAAGTAGCCTCGGGTGATTTTTATGCTTAGATTCCTTTCCCCGAGTGAGCCGGGTGACTGTCAAAGGCTCTATTCTTGGAAGTTCAAGTTTCTTGTTCAATTCTCCCCAGAGCATCCTATCATTTTTATCCTGCAAACTGAGGGGAAGGTCAGGGTTGTCTTTTATGTTCATGGCTATGAGAGAGTCATCACGAACCGTTATTGTCGTCCCAGGTTTCCCAGTGCGTTCAGGTTTAGCACCTTGTTGTTTGGGGGTGGAAGCACGTTTATGAATCCTTGGCTCTTAGTTTTCGCTTAACTGGATTCTGTGTCCAGTAGCAGTGAATCACCAATACCCACAGACAGTAACCTAGGTATATTAACGGTAGAAAAGGAAAGAGCAATCTGTAAATCATAGTAAGATACTATCTTTAGTCCTTAAGGATATGTCAGTTTTTCTCATAAAGGACTTCTCAGAAGTCGCTTGGACTAGCTCACCCGACAGAGAATTCCAATTGGGGATTAGAATCCCTTGAGTCTGTGTAAGTACGTTTGTTCACGGGCAGTGAGTTTAGTGGGACTGACAGCTATCGCCGCACCGGAAAGGATGTCGATCT